AAGTAAATTTTACCTAAATTCTCATTAAATGTTAAATTAACAAACACAATTTCAACTAAAATTACAACTTAAATGCTATCAATTTCACGAAAAACTAATACAACTTTTACCCAATTTCATGTCAATTTCAACTCATATTCACACAATCTCAACTAAATTTCACCAAAAATGCACTCAATTTCAGACAAACAAATTCAATTTTACCAAAAATTACAATAATAATAAATTATATAATACTCGTAGTAAACAAAAATACCATATCTTGAAATTCACGGTAAAGAGGACCGGCGGTTGAGTGGCGGCGGCGGAAGGTGGTGGCGAGGGAACTCGGTCGAGGGCGGCGGCGGCTGACGGTCGGGGGATCTGGCGTGGCGTGGACGGCTGACGGTCGGGGGCGTCGAGGGCTGGCGCGGCTGGACGGCTGACGGTCGGGGGATCTGGCGTGGCGTGGGCTAACACTGACGGCAGCGGCGGCGAGCGCTGGCACAGCACGACGAGGAGGACAGCGAGGGAAGGCGCTGCTGGACGACTGACGGGGGTTAAGGGATGGCGAGTGAATTGATTTCGATTTTGAGTTGTGAGACTGAGATCCCGATTTTTATTAAAAATCCGCGACGGAATATTTCCCGTAGCAGATTCCGTTGCAGATCTGCGACGGAATAATTAAACTGTCGCAGATATTTTTTGAAAAATTTGACCAACTTGGTCGTCTCCAGATTTGCGATACTACTCTATTTTCCGTTGCAGATCTGCGGCGGAATATGAAATTTCGTTGAAGATTACTTTCATTTTTCATAAATAATTCGTCCGTCGCAGATTCGTTGCAGATCCGCTACGGAAATAGGTCCGTAGCAGATTTCCGTTGCAGACCAGACAAATTCTTGTAGTGACACCTCTGTCACCATTTCCCCATTACCCCCCACCTACCATAGTGCATTAAAAGATCCTAACTGGCATGCTGTTATGTGTGATGAATATAATGCCTTGATAAAGAACAATACATGGGAATTAGTACCCCTTCCCCCTCACAAAATTTTATCACCGGTAAATGGCTTTTTGGACACAAATTTGGCCCTTCAGGTGAGTTATCCCGGTACAAGGCCCAATGGGTGGTTTGCGGTTTTAATCAACGGTTTGGTGTTGACTATGACGAGACCTTCAGCCCCGTTGTCAAGCCTGCCACTGTCCGTATCATCCTCGGCCTTGCTCTGGCTCGAGGATGGCCCATTCATCAACTTGATGTCAAAAATGTGTTCCTTCATGGTCAACTACAGGAAACCGTTTATGCCTGCCAGCCTTCTGGGTTCCAGGATCCCACTCGCCCTCACTGTGTTTGCAAACTCAAGAAGGCTCTCTATGGTCTCAAGCAAGCACCCCGCTCTTGGTTTCACAGGTTTGCAGGTTTCATACAGACTATTGGCTTTCGATGTTGTAAGGCCGACACTTCCATATTCATTTTCTCTCAGCCCGTGGGAACAGCCTACCTGCTTCTAAATGTTGATGACATTGTACTCACGGCATCCTCCCCGGCACTTCTCTAAACCCTTATTCAGCAGCTCAAGGCTGAATTCTCCATGACAGACATGGGCGGCCTGCATTTTTT